TCGCGGTCACGCTTTTATCCAGGCTTCACTTTAGGGCTTCGCGCAATATCGAACACCTAGTTAAGGAACGTTTCATGTTAAAAGAGGACGGATTGTAGCCCTCCCGTCATTTTGGCATATTTCCGTGGATCAAAGACTTTCAATCACAAGATTCGGGCCAGGTAACCTTTGCTTGACTTTAAAATTTAAATCCGACCTCAGTCGACGATTCAATGGAATTAGTCAAGCAGCGCAAAAGATCATCATCATGGCACTCGTCGTCATTCGTCATAGTGCGTTTTCAAGCACTGAGTAAACAGGTCATGCGCAGTGATTGAGTGGAGACCCTGCGTTGCTTTCTTGACGTGGTTGGCGTGGCGGACGACAGATAACGCATCGATGACAAGCGCCGTGACAACGCACCTTTGGCGCTGCTAGATTGTCTCCTACGGCTCGTGGCATCGGCTGGGCTCGGGCTTAAAAGTGAAAAATTGACAGAGGCCTTTATCTCAAGAGTGCCATGGAATACCGCACTTTAGGAGCTATCGTCTATATTTGTTTAGAAAACATTAAACGTCGTATCGGGGAGTAAAGAACCTATATTGGCTACGAAGTTCTCCTCAAAATTGAGCGGGGAAACTGACTTGGTCTGCAAATCACGTGACGTCAGTCCGCCCGCTAAATTCAACAGGAAACTAAATTGGCGTCTATATCACATGAGGCCAGGACAAGTGACATCAATTTTTCTGCCAAATATAGGGAGGAAGGTGAAGTGATGTATAGGGTACGTGACGTCAACTTTTAAAAGAAGCACCGTTCATTATTCGGTAAAAGGGCATTGCAAACTTGTTGTGTTCAGTTTTCGATGGTGGCTTTCAGTGTCGTTTTACCGTTATTTTTATTAGCACCGAGATGCTTGGGTGGCACCCTTTTATGGTTTCCGCTTCCGTGAAGCCACGACCACACTTTGCCTTGCCGTGACGTCATGAGCTGTCTAATCTTGACTACCTTATCATCGCTTGCAAGCTACTAGTTACATACTGTTTGTAAAAATACCAATTTTCAGCTTGGAGTCATCGCAATTTTAAACCAACCTTATCACATAGTGGACACTCTGACAATGCGCCGATCTTGATCGATGAAATGAAAAAATATAATAAAAATAAAGACGTCACTGCGAGCGCTTCGTCAATCGTGAATTGCGACTGCGGGGCGGGGCGGGTCTTGTACATCTAATTATCCCACCGCAGCCGATCAGATGGCGGCATATGGGCTGAAAAAAAAAAATAAATGACCAAGGACAAGCCGCAAAGCAAGGAAAGTGAGCATAATAATGCACGCCCTGTGTTTCTTAAGCGGTCACGTGACAATAGCCTAGTGCGAGTTGAGTAAAAAACACCGATAACACGCAAGAACGCGGTTCTTTACTTCTTTCGAAATACCTGCAATTGTAATGGCTTTATGTAAGTACACGCGTGCAAGTACGTCTTCCTCCTCGCGCACCTCGCGTGTCTGTCCCCCCCCCCCCCCCCCCCCCCCCCCCCCCCCCCCCCCACACACACACACCTTTAACGCGCCGCTCCGTCTCATCGCGCGTTCCCTGCGTGTCCTCTAAGGTATACTTTGATCGGCGTGCTCCCCCTCGCGTTCCGATGAGCCAAAGACAAATTTTGGTATACTTCCTCGCGGTATTAGGTGTAGGAGTATTCTATTCCAGCACGATTCATGTTGTGCTCGACAGAAGACTCACATTTTAGTTGAATCTTTAAGTAGGCTGTGCATTCTTTCCTTTAGGCTAGGCGGAATACCGGAACAATATGCCGTTGTGGTCGGAGAACAAAATATCAATATTGAAGATCCCACAGAAGAAAGGATTGGCGTGCAGAACGTAAGTATCAAGTGGCATTTTCTAATACTACAAAGGTTTCGCGCGAATTTTAGGTTTGTGTGGAATCGAGGGTGTTGTGCACCCGCTTGTGACTTATTTTACGATGGAATGATACGCTGGCACGCTGGCGCGATCTACCAGTTAGCCTTGGTTCAATGCCGATCTGCGAATATATGACCGAGTTGTTTTACGCGCATTTCTTTTTTCGCCATGCGTTTGATACAATTTCGACGATGCTATAAACTAAGGATAACTCTGGGACCAATGCAAAAGGGACAAGACAAGCCGCCCTCTCAACTGAAGTTTATTTGAAAGCGCAAACATATATATAAGACCATCAAGAAACGAAATGTCATTGCGTGTTGCGGCACAGAAAGCATTTCAGATTTTGTTTTGTATTAATTTGTTGATAAGGCTAAGTAAGGACATGTCACTTATGCGGGTTTCTTTCCTTCGGTCCTAATCTCAAACACCTTATGAATTTTCTTGACAGTTTATTATTATGACGCGCAAACTCTTGGTGTCACAGAAGGCAGGTGTTTAGGTGTGGCGATGAACACCGGAATAAGTTAACAAATTCCGTAACATGGGTTGTTTATTCAATTCCCATGTTAAGCGGGACGTCATTAATTGCGAGGAGGTCGAACTATAGGAGGCGCTATGTCCAGCTTGTTTTGCTCTGAGTTCTACGTTTACCTAAGGTGCCTTCATGGGCGCTTTAATCAGGGTGATGACATTCTTTGCAGTACACGATGCCACTAGCACGCGCGATCGAAAAAAATACAAAAAATATCCGGCAACAAAATGCCTTCGTAGCACTGTGAATGCCAAGAGCCCATGCCGGGAGACGCACTTGCTCGCACTCAGGAACAAAACAAGAAACAAAAGCGTCAGAATAAAACTCGAAGACAGAGGAGAGCCCGCCAAAGCGAGTATTCCTTCGGAGGTCTTCCGAAGGCACGAGGTGATAAATTTGAAAAAAACTCAGGGCTTAATTTTAGCAGGCATCGCGCCCTCCCGCATTTAGCAATGGACGGCCCGCGAGAGGAGAGCTACCTTCACCGGGCCTGCGGCTGTAGAAGACCACGATTACAGCCTGCTAACTCAGAGACAGCGGCGGGAAACAGAAGGCTGTTCCAGGACTACTGCACGAATTGCGCGCCCCCTGTGCTTCGAGGCCTGATGCCGCCCCGAGGGTGCAAGAACAAGCGTGTCGCGTCCCTCTCCAGCCTGCGTGGATATCTGAGCGAGACCAGTCAGTCTGTCAGTCAGTCAGAGTTTTGAGAGTAAGGAAATCAAAGGAAGTGTTGCTCTGAGCGAGACCGAACTGCTGTGCCAGAAAATGGAAATTGCCAATGCCCCGCCTAGTCAACATTTTCTGAAATTGTGAACTATTGAGCCTTGTTTTTTAACGGAAGGGTCAATAAACGTCTTCTCAATAAATCAATCAATGGTCAGGTGTCATCACCCTAAGCGAAGCGCACATGAAGGCACCCAGTAATTACCAACAAAAGGCACGTGCACGGGTTCTTCACTTCATCTTGATGGATTAAGCGTGGGGCAAAGATGGGGCACGATTCGTGGCCAAGATGTCTCCCCGCGTTCAGTCGAAACGGATGAAGTAAAAAAATCAATGAGTGCCGCTTCCGCGTTGAGCTTCATGATTGAACACGAGCACCAGCCAAACGCTGACCCTGCAATCGGCTACGTGGGCCGAGCACTGTGTGAAAACATAACCAAATAATCTATGTTGTTGTTGTCCGCAATTCGTCCTCAATTTAGCCAGTAGGGGCGCTACGCTTGGATCTCTTTCCCAATAGGTGAGACGGGCAGATATGGAAGCGACTACGTGAGTAACCATGCAACTTCCACAAATCAGCACCGGCAGAACACCTTGTGGTTCGTTGTTCCAGGTGCTCGTGCACTCCGGCCTCCCATGACAACCAAGATTCTGGCGCGTTATAAGGATTAGGTGTCAAATGAAATTCGTAACGCACTCAAGATTATGACTATAGTGGCAAAAACATGCCCAAGTGACATGTCTTTAGCCTCGTCTACGAATGAATACGTGTATCTAAAATGCGGGATGTGTCGCAATACGCAGTGACTTGGAGTTTCTTGATGGATACATATGCGTGTATTTTGTAATAAACTTCAGTTAAGGGAGCACCTTGTCTTGTTCCTCTTGCATCGGTCCTTGTGTTGTTCCGGCGCTGTTTTCCTTAGCTACGAACCAACTGGTCCAAATCACCACCTTAAAGCTCTAAGCGACCATTTCTTATATAGAGTCTGTAGATTTGGCATCGCAAATACGGCAAAGCCTTTAGTTATAGTCATTCGCAAATTGGAAGTGAGCAGCGACTGTATGTTATATGGCGTCATTTTGTTTTCTCATCGTAAGCGTTAACAAGGTACGCGCAACTCACTCAGTAACACTCAAAAGCAAATGTGTGAACAGCCTTAAGCGTCGAACGAATTCTCTTCAAGTTATTCCACCTACTAGACAAAACCTCAACGTCCCACGACCTGTGTTTCAAAGAACAATCTGCAGGATAAAATCATACTTCAAGCGACATTTCTACATTTGCCTTTGTAGCGCGAGTAATTTTCGGCAGTTTCAACGCAGTCAAAATTTGTGTCTAAAGAACCGCTCTGCTTTAAAGAGAAATCTCTTATGCTTCTTTTTTTTTTATATATTATACTATTAGCGGTAGGGTAACTGTACCAATAATTGAATGAAAATGTTAACCTTTTAATTTACGTGTGCGAATACTAGTTCAAATGCAAGAGCGCAGAGTCATCCATATAACAATGATCATAAATTCGGTTGTCGTGGCTTTTCCTCTCACGGTGTAGGCTAGGAGTGACACAGTGCTATTTCATTAGATCAGGTAGTTTGCAACAACCCCCTACCTTTCTTACGTTATTGCCCTAAAATTCAAAATTATATCTTGCATGCGGTTTGCTCTTGTTTCAAAGGTTTTTAATATACGCCATGTTTCTTGTGTTTTTTTTTTCTTTTTTTTTTATTGCCCCATAAACACAGATAACAGTTCATCCACTATACGATCCGGATACCTTTGTATATGACTACTCGATACTGAAGCTCAACAAGACTCTGGACTTCAATGGTCAGGAGAAGCATCTCATGCCCATCTGTCTTCCCAGCTTAAACCAGAACTTTGATGGACAAACCTGCACTGCAAGTGGATGGGGTCTTACCAAAGACAGTGAGCGCACGTCGGCTAAACTCTATGTTCATGCAGCACAATGAAAAAAATGGCCACCTACAAATGTGTTTAAATCAGCGAGGTAGAGGGCCTTAGAGCGATGAACTGGCAGCTGAAAGTGACCCCCAATTGGCCGCCGCCATGTTGCACATTTTTGACCACTAGACACGTGACCTTATAGTTTCACGTCTCGATTTTAAGGACGTACCGCGCAAGAATAATTGTTTATTGACCTTTATTAACAGAACGTTTGTTTTAAGTACAAAATGTGCTTTTACGACAAAAACTCGGGCAGCTTCGCAATGCCTCCGCTAGGTGCCGTCAGCCGCGGTGCTGTGTTTTGGGTTTTTTATCGGAGCTAGACATTGATCCCTGAGGCTAACTCTATTAAAAAAATAGTTTATCATGTTTTTTTTTACAGCGATCGCAATAGAATTCTCGGCTCAGTTTTGCGTAAAAACTTCAGGATTTGGTACGATCACGTGTCTAGTGGTAATTCCGCGTCTTGTGTGCCTGTGAGTGTGACTCTATATCCGCGCTGTTTCATCCAAGCATGAGTCACCAACTAGCCCAAGCATCCACATTATCTAGTGGTAAAAAATGTGCAACATGGCGGCGGCCAATGGGGGGTCACTTTTGCCTGGTGAACGGGATACCGGTTTATCGCTCTAAGCCTCTCTACCTCGTTGGTTTTAGTATACCGAGTGTTTGTAAGAAAACCGAACCCGGCATTTCGCACCGCAAAAATATACTAGACATCGCGGAAAGCTTAAACTCCGTCAGAACGTAACCGCAGCCGTACAAGCAAGATGCCAAAGTTTCAGCACTAACCGTTATTTTATTAAACAGATAAATGTGATTTTTTTTTTTTTTTTAATTTTCAATGGGAGAATGGGGCCTATTTTCGGCCCGTTTTCCGTTTCTGGCGCCATAGAGCTCCATGTACTCGAGAGCTCCGTCGGGCGCCATTTTTTCATTGAAATTTTCAGAAAATCACTTAGCACTTTTGGTGCTGAAACTTCAGCACCTTTCTCGAACGGCTGGGGCTACGTTTTTACGGAGTTGGAGCTCCCCGCATTGTCTAGTTTATTTTTGCGATGCGAAAAGCCGAGTTCGGATTTCCCAGAAACACCCGGTAGAGTATTATTTATTAAACTAAACGAATCCACGTGGGTTTTATTTGCGTTATAAATTTGGGTTATAAACGATTAAAAAATAGTTTACATGTTTATAGAAAAAACGTGTTGCATGGACTGAAAAGTTAAACTCGTCACGTCCTGCATTCCTTCTTAAGCTGTTAGTCATTAGATATACCTTTTCAAAATCGGCTTCTGCGGCTGCCATCTCTGTTTGATAAACTGTGGAACGAATTCTGGGCAAGCGCTGTTGCTCTCTTGTGCGGTATACCAGATTCTGCGCCTGCGTTCACAGCTCATTGACTCGGTTTTTTTTGCCTGCGTGATAAGCACTGAAAAGGTGTATGCTCAATTACAAAACTGTTGATTTTTGCTTTGTTTTTAGCGAATTCACGAGAGAAACCAGCATCACCGAATTGCTAGAGCCGTGAAAATTAGAAAGAGACGAGGCACCAATTTAGCTTTGACAAAATGCACATTACTACAGGCGGCTCCCCCCAATACGTTGGCGTAAAGGAATCTCGCAAGTTATGGTTCATTTCAGTTTTCTAATATACTTTATTGTTCAAAATATTGCGATCTTTAGTACATATATATCTGCTCCGAGGTCACCATAACTTTGGGCATGCATATTTAGCATGCATTGGACGCGAGAGATGCGCCAGCACTCGGCATGAACTCGAAACCAATCACACTGTTTGCGCAGGGAACGATGTCAAAAATATGGCGGCGACCAGTGTTGCTCGGTTACTTTTTAAAGAAGGGTCCGTTCCCTCCAGGGGGTTTAAAGATGGAAGCAGAATGCGGCAAATCCTGAGCGCTGACATCGATGGTCCTAAGAGGAAGAACGAGGACGAGAGCGAAATAAAAGCAAAAAAGTAAACAGACGAAAGGTTAGGGGAGTGTTCGTTTGCCGCGACGTGTTGAAGTTGCTGGAGCGCTTGTCACCTTTGTTTATTTTTATAGAATCCGCTATTTCGTGTTTTTATTTTTTTAAGGGGGGAAGTTAGCTAGAAAAGACTGGGAGCACACCATACCTGTTATGTTTCGTTGCTTCTCTGTATGTATTAAGTCGTCGCCAGCGATTCGCATCTATCGTGACCACCAACTGGGAAACCCGATCTCAGCAACTATGCCCGACGTTTTTAAGCAGCCTGAATGCACAAGGCCTTTCCTTCTAGAATATTATTATAACTCGAAACTTGCTACCTCCAGTAACCTTGAATGTCTTGTTTTTCGCGCTTTGGCTACTTTTTTAGGCAAGGGGCTTCTAGCTTATTCATCATTTTCCTTGATTTAATTTCCTTCATATTATTTCATTTCTACAAGGAAAACAAAAGTTTTCAATAATATCTTGCATCTCCTGTCAACTTCACACTTCAATCTTCTAAAAACACTGGCCTAAGGGCTTTTTTTTTTTTCAGTAGATCTTCTAAGCAAACTTTTTGCGGATCAGGAAATCAAATGGAAGTAGTTGTTAACGCATTGCTGTGTCATTATACGTAAAAACATGAGAGGGACATGGACGACAATACAAACCACACGTGTCTTTTGTAGTGTATTCAACTATGGGTGCTTGAAACACGACTCCTACTGGTGTTTACCGCGTCCCTCGATTTCCGGCTGATGGCGTCACAAAAGTGACATGCTGTCACCAAACGCGACCCTGGCAGTGTATGTGACAGGCGCCTGCTCTGCCGCAGGTAGCTCTTAACTTGACAATTCCACGGAAGCTTCAGCAGGCAAGAGTTGGGACGTTGCGACGACTGCAACACTTGCGCTCACTCGTTCTTTTTTGCCTAGACTTCGTAGCGTCAACCGCCAGGATCGCGACATTCGACAGGATGACACAACGGTTACTTTGACGTCATTTGTTCCCGCTTTGGAACCACTTTTGAAGTAGGGGCCGGGAGGGGACGCTAAACACACCAGTCGAGGACGCGTTCCAGGCACCTTACTTCATAGGTCCCTCTTTCTTTCTTGTAATTTAGTTACCGCTAAGATCAACCGTTCAAAAAATGTAATGTGCATATTGTTTCTTTTGACGAATAAAGCGGAGTAATATGTTTTACTTCGTCCAATAACCCGCAGGAACAAAAGGGGGAAACGACTCGAATCCCGATCTGCTAAAAGTAGACTTGCCCATCGTACCGTACGATGAATGTAGAAGGGACTACATTGGTGTGCAACATGTCGACAGAAACACGATGATTTGCGCAGGAAACAAAGAAGGAGGAAAATCGACCTGCCAGGTAAGTGACCAAACGTGTTTAAAAAAAACCAGTGACACTGTGTGTTGTACAAGGGTATTTCGTTTTTCATCTTCCGGGGAACTCAGTTAACTTGGATTTCCTATCACGAGTTCAACAAGACCCTCAGCGGCTACAGGCCTTGTTTTCTTACCCCCATTTTTAATGGCGTATATTTTTTTCTCCCCGAAGCTTTATGCAGTTTTCTTAATAGAGTCGACGCGACTGTGGTCGAGAGACGGTCTAGTTAAATTTAGAAAAGCATGATTGACTGCCCAGGTGGCAACCTTCTTGGCGAGGGCATCTTAAATTTGTTCCACCTTATAAAAACTGCATAAAAATGTGCGCTAATACTGTCAAGGAATAGCCAGGGTATGTATCTACGTTTTGTGTATATTACTAGAGTTTAATCACTTTTCTGTGTTTGCCCGGTTCATCGGAAGCTGAAAAAAAAAACAGCTCTCCTATCAGTGGTCAAGTGCGCATGGAGACAATGTAAGCAGATTGGTCGACTTGCGCCGATTCCTTTTCGGCGTGCGACGTCCAGTGTAGGTTTCTATGTAAATAACGGCGCAAATATACCTCGTTACAGTTGCATTACTTCATTTAAAATGCATTTGACTATAGTTAAAACTACTCTAAGATAGGGTGAGCATACAGGCGCACTGCATACTATTACACAGTTTTGAACTGGTGACGATGGACGAAAGAGGGCAAACGCAGAACGTGTCAAACGCAACTACTAAAATTTATTCGCACAATTGTATATAGTAAAATAGCATTTGAAGATAGACCAAGGGACATGAATGATGGACGATGGGCACGGAAAGCTTTTGGCTATTTGTACATAAAGTGCGTCGATAACAAGTGAAGAAACCGAACAAGAAAACTTAGGTCGAAACTTTTTGGGCAATAAGGGCTCAGATCAGAAAATGAAGGTTAAAGCTGCAGCCGTGAGGGAAATATGGGATGATAGGTACGCAGACTAAGTAGACTTTGAAGAAGTATAAAAAACGTAAGATGAATATTGCTAAGGAAATCATCTAAGGCAATTCCAGGAGAACCTCGTTGTTGTTTGAGGCCACGACAGGAGCGTTGCGAACTAGGGTGTAAAGAGCAAAATGTCAGGACGTAGATAAAGTGTGTGGGACATGGGGGGAGAAAAGGAGGCGGCTGAACACTTACTACCTTACTGGAAGGGGCTTCATCCAGCAGTTGTTCAACGCGATACTGATTTAGTGGAGGCTTTAGGTTTCAAAGGCACCGACGTAAAAATAGACGCTGGGAAAGCGGAGATCGCCAAGCGCAGGTTACCAGACTGATGGCATAAAACGAGGGAAGAAAGAAGTTTCTTGAAGAATTGTGGATGAAGGCTTGTGCTGGCAGTGTAATGATATTCTGCCATTTGTTGATTACGAATTTTTCTGATATTAGTTCATTTTAATCAGAATCTAGGTGCCGCGAGCCGCCGCCCAATTTAAAGAGTTCAGTCGTATCCGTCGATCAAAATATCCATACTTCTTTTGTCTTTTTTCATTTTCTTTATAAAATACATTCGTTGTTCATGTCGCCTTATCTAAGGCAATTCCAGGAGTGGGGGATCTTTGTACGGACGTGCGTGGGTGGCGCCGGGTTCGGTCTTTGGGCGAATAGGCGAATTTGTGGAGGGAAGAATAGGTTTGGATTCCTTTGTACGAGCTGAGGTCATTGGTTTGATTTGAGGTCAAGACGAGATGTACCTTATATGAAGCCTGAAGGCCATGGAGACGTGTGAAAATTTCTGGAAGACGTGCGTGGGACATGGTATAGCTACGATTCTGCAAATAAAGCTTAGTAGCTGCGTTTGAGTCGTGTTGTGTTTGCACTTCCTTTTTTAATTTTGTAGGTCGTTTCAAGATTTTCAGAAATGCGTTACAATTACTTTATAGAAAATAAAATTGACTAAAGTTACAATTACTCAATTAAAACGCAATTTATTAAAGTTACACTTACTTCATTGAAAATGAAATTGCTGAAAGTTACAATTACTCTATTGAAAATGCAATTGCTTGAAGTTTAAGTTACTTGCCTGAAAAGGCAATTGATTGAAGTTGCAATTATTAAGTTGTGAACGCTATTTTAATAATTAAGTCGATAATTACTTTCTTAATATGCTATATTAAAGTTCCAATTACTCATTCGAAAATGCTATTGATTGGAGTTACAGTTACTTCGTCGAAAACGCTATATATTAATAAATTACTTCAATAAAAAATGCAATCTATTGCAGTGTTCAATTACTGTCTCCTGAAAGAAATAAAAAATACTATACCGGACTCAATTGCAGTTGACTTTTATATTTTCAAAATTGCACAGTGATTTTACAAATATATGACCAGATATATTACGTGATGTCACAATAACTGAAATATACGTTGCGCTACGTGAACAGGAATGGCAAAAAGAATTAGATATTTTATTAATCGTTATTTTTTTTTAGACTTAAACGTTGTTAAGTTGGGCCAACAGTTTATTTTCAAAGAACGGATCATGCACCTCGCAGCGCATCTTTCCGAATAAGGCAGCTGCGACTTTGCCCCTTTTCACTGTTCCTTTCGAAAAAAACTGAAATTTTACATTGTGCGAACATTTTCCGCACCACATCGTGGTCCCGTAATGTGCTCATATAAGCAATCTCAGAGAACTCTGCGAGGCTAAGCGTAGAAATGCCATCAGCAAACAAATATGAATGAGCTATTCGTTTCCTTATCAAATTGTCGAATATGTTTCGAGTCGATACACACTAAAGCCACCAAACTTATCTTCGTCGTTCGATGCAAGTTTCATTATTTCAATTTTTTAAAATTTAAGTTTGGTTTTCACGTGCTTTCGTTTACAAATAGTTGAGATAGTCATTGAAATGCACATAACAATTGAGGTAACCCAGGTAAACAAGATTAAACTTCAACCCGGTTTTGAAGACCTTTCAAAACTGTATTCAGTAGCAGCTCGCAAGACCCAGGCCCTGGAAAATATAAGCTTCAGTGCCCTGGCTGTTACTCAGACAAAAAGCATCGACATCGGAGACGTAGTAGCATGTGCAAGATATTCGAGGTGCTGGCAACCCTCTGTCGACATCAGAGACGCAGAGGCATGTGCAAGACCTTTGAGGTCCTGGCAATCCTTATGACTGAACCAGAGCCAAACCTGAAAAGATTGAGCGCCACTTTGTCCGCTGTTTAGTAGCCAGTGCATAACCTTTACACCAACACCAGCTATACACCTTTCCAAAAAAGAACACTATAGGCCTCAGAGAACCTTTTTTTCAATCGCACTCACTCTCGCACCGGTGTCCCACTCTCGCACTGTCCCACCGGTGTCCCTGCTAATTAACCCTAACCGAGCGGACTATTGATTTCGCGAAGCCCGTAGCCTGCGTAGGAACAATTCCAGTCACTGCTGTAGGTTAGGTGCTCGTATTTTTCCGTTGTTTTCGCGTTTCATTGTGTATATACTTTCCCGATGCCACTGAGAAACACATTTCAAATTAGAAGCTATTTTGTTTTGTACGTGCGCGACGAAACGAACGTAGTTAGAATGTTTGTTTTATTTTATAAAACACCGCCTTCTAAGTCGTATCAGTCGGCAAAGCGCTTAAAGGCCCGTTCACATACTTGCAGCCGAGTAGGACCGGCTGAAACAAGGCCGGTTTTTAAGCCTCTTGCGACGGCTTAGGTCCTGCTCTGCAACAGCGCATCTGGTCCTATGCCATCGCAAAAGGCTTAAAACCGTGCTTGTCTAAGGCTACGTTTACATGGATGCGACTGCAGCGCATCGGATCCAGTTAACGAATCGAATCGGTCCATGTAAACAACTCAGATCGAATCGGATCGGATCCGATCCGATCCGCTGGGACGGGGTGGTTTGAGATGGTCAATCCGAATCGAGACTCTCCTTGTATACGCTAGCGGATCGGATCGAGTGCTCAAGCGAGGGATTACGGGAGCTTTGCTTTGCATGCCGCTAGGCAAACCGGACGCCTCGGAAACAATCTGAAAATCACGAGGTTTGCGTTGTGATCCTTCGACACGAGGTGCCGCTACTGGTCGATCCGAATCCATGTAAACGTAGTGGTTCAAGTGGATCCGATTCGCTAACTGGATCCGATGCGCTGCTGTCGCATCCATGTAAACGTAGCCTAAGTTGGTCCTGCTCAGTTGCAAATGTGTGAACGGGTCTTAACTGTAGAAAATAATTTACAACTGAAGATAGCCGAACAGCAAAACTCGTAATGTCAAGCACAAAGTGCTTGACTTTTGCTCGGTTTGTAGCGTGAGCTACACTGGCCGAGGTTAAGCAATTTCGCGTGGCTCTCAAAAAGCCGTGCTGCGCATGAGCGAGGAGCAGTGACGTCACACGGCGCACAGCTGGCGCGCCGGAGCCGCCGCCGCCGCGCGCGCCTCGCCGGTCTGCGCATTCCCGAGGAGTGACGTCATAGCCGCGGCAGACACTGGCGCCGCCGTGTGCCCAGCTGTGCGCCTCCGTTGCGCAGTAGCCAAGTCTGACGGCGCACCGGAGCCGCTTGATAGCGCCTCTCATTTTGTGCGCATAAGCTCACGCTACGCATATCCTGGCATAGCCGAGCTAAGCCACCGCAATTTTTTTCTTCCGCTTCGCATAGCCGAAAACACAAAGGAAAATAAAACGCGGTCGTGTATTGCCACGTGACTTCCGGCAACTCTCCACTCCTTTACAGTTCTTCGTCCTACCCAATCCACACAACACTTGGTTTTACCTTTGCTCCAGACGCAGCCGTCGCTACAAGCTGATAGGACCAATCCGACAGCGTGAAAAGCGCACCATCATGATATTCGCATGCTCTTTTACGTGTTTCGACATCGCTGAACCAAGCATGAACAAAAACTTCCCAGTGACTTGCGTTTTTGATGCCGCTTGATTGGTCCTGTTACCTCGTAGCGTCGGCTGCGTCTGGATTTAAGCTGAAACGAAGTATAGAAGACAAG